AATGATTGATAAAGGCCTCAAGCCCAAAGACCTCATCCAGTAATTACCACTCATACCCATCAAGTGATTTTTCATTTTAATGCCTTTTAAACCGCCACTTCTTTACCTGGGTCGGTTCAGTTGGGTCTTGGGCGGGTTCATTCTTCATTGTCCATCTGCACAAATCAACGAACCAATTTTAATATTGAACCTAATTTCTTTTCCACTAATACTCAAATTTTATAACACAAACAATAAAAAAAAAAAAAAATTCTGATAGTCGGATTTAGGCCATATAAAAAACGGTCATAATCTATACTTCCCATTTTTTAGGGAAAAAAATAATAATAATAAAACTTCGAAAATCAAATACCCATATAAAAAAGGGAGGGACGCCATGAAAGTAATGATGATCAAGTCAAAATAAGAAATAAGATATATACAATACAATACACGGTATATATGAATGAATCCCAATGAACATGCACCACTGAAATTCAAGTTTAAGGCAGCAAAAGGTCCTCTTGGAAGGACAGAGACCTCTCCCTTATTTCAAAGGACCCGGAGCTGTGTAAGGAACGTGGCACAAAGGTCTAAAAACACAAATTGGGGCCCTTGAACCCTTTGTAGATCTAGCAGGTACTTCTCCTCCGGAGTTTTATAAAGCTGTTAACAACAATGCAACCAAAGCATGTTAGCATTCAACTGGTAATTTCACAAGTTCTGCCATAAATTTATCTACTGGAGGGAAGGTTTCTGAAAACAACTACCAAATAACAATCCAGTCATCAATTACTGCCATTTAAATGAATTGCAAATGACTTGCAAGACCAATAATCACGAGGAGCTTTCTCAGATAGGCATTACCTGCAGCTCAAACTTGATGACATTTGGTGATTTAATAATCCCATCATTCTCAATAATGCTTGATTCATCACCAAAATAATGACTACTGTGCACAGCATTGTTGACCATGCCTTCAAGATGACCAGGGATGCCAGGAATCCACCTGCACTTCATGTTGTAGTGCCCTATCTTCTTCCAGCACACATTCAATTCCTGCAGAGCTTTGAGAACTTCTGTCATAATTTCACGAGGATGTGCTCGAGACTGCAGAACAATGGATAAAATAATGATCAGTGATAATCGAAGGATTTTGCTCCACACTAAAGGGAGCCAAAAATATCTCATAAACTTCTCTAAACGGTTACAATATCATTAAGATTAACCCGCTGTATGAAACTCCTAATCTTTTTCCTAGAACAACAGAGAACAAGTTGATACAAGCACTGATCTTTAATAATTTCCCAACACAATGTTATAATCACCTATTTAACTAAATCACGTGTACAGCTAGTTGGCTCTATTGCATACAAAATAGCTAAAACCTGCAGTCCAAGGGCCCATTTCCTCTCAGCTGGAGACTGTCCTCTCAAACCAAGCTGTGTCAATCCTTGATAATCCATATATCCTGTCATACGGTGTCCAAGAGCTGGAGACAATGGTTCACTTGGATGCATATGGTTCAAACCACTATCCTAAAAAGTAAAAACATGTATTAGGAAAGGAAACCTAAATTAGCACTCCAAATCTCAGTGAAGCATCTAAAGACAAAAAAACAAAAGTATATATCAATTGCTTAAAACACTTCTATTAGGAATCTAAAAATTAATCTCAAAAAGGTAGAAAGAAAACTCACCACAGTTTCTTGAAACTCAGCTCCAAGATAGCCACTGGAAACCCGGAACCGATTGTCCAATAACAAGTAATATGCAACAGTAGCCTGATAGATATTATCACAATAATAAGAAACTGGATGGAAACTGAGAGAATAGGAAATTAGTTGGAAAGTACAAACCTCATTTTGTATCCCGTTACAAAGTGATTCAATGAGTTGGTTCCTGTCAAATCCCATCTTAACCACTTCCTGAAGTATCTCCTCATCAATCTGAAATTAAACTGGAGTGGGTAAAACATGACCGGTGACTCAAATAACATAAGGTGTCTGACTTTATCATCATGACTGGAGTATCCACAAGCTCTCTTGAATAAGTTTCCCTTTTTATATTACCTAA